GCTCAGGTCATGATCCTGGAGTCCCTGGATCGAGTCCCGCATCGGGCTCCCTACTTGACAGGGAGTCTGCTGTGCCCTCTGACCCTTCCCCCTCTCATGTGCTCTCTCTCTCATTCTCTGTCTCTCAAATAAATAAATAAAATCTTTAAAAATAAATAAATAAATCTGAGGGCTTGGTAGTTTCTAATCTCCTTAACCTCCTACCCCATGCAGCTTCAAACTTTGATAGACAGCTTGGGGGGAGACTGGCCATTTATCTTGGGCAGCCACCTTCTTGAGAGGGTTTTTCATTCCTAAGCACCAAAGACACTGCAGACACTTCACTCTTTTGGAAGCTTTTATTTTGGCTCTCCAGCCTCCTGCACAGCCCTAAATTCAGCAAATGTCCCAGGGGAGGGAACCAGCTATGCATTTGAAGATTCTCAAGTTCCTCATCTGCCATTTCAACTTCAACTGACCACAAAAACTCTTGTGATTTCTCTCTTGCTTCCACAGCTCAATGATGCCTTTTAAAATAGGATTTTTGTATTGTATCTGGTTGTTGCCACAATTCTACATCCTATTTGGAAGCAGACTTTTTGAAGACATTGTAAGTAGCCATGAAACCCGACCCCATACTAACAACACTGCATTCACATGGAGAGAGAACCGTAAGAAGTGTCGCACCCCTGTCAGACAGGCACCAGTGCAGGGCAGCTGCACCTAAGTGTGCCGGGTGCCGAGAGCCAGCGGCTGTGCACTCAGATCGACTGCATGCAAGGGAACCACTCTGAAGCTCAAGTCAGTTAAGGAAGGTTTCACGCGGAAATAATATATGGAGTCCTATCCAGAAAAAACACCATGTGTTGTGTTCGTCTACCAAGACGGACCTCTTCATTGGGAGTATGATGCTTTCACAATGTATGGATAATTGAATAAATGACAGCAAAGTAATGAAAATATGGTACCATTCTCACTTGAAATAATGGTTGCATTCCTGAGCATGTTTCACTAAATTTTACACATGCAAACATAATAAAATTGTGTCTGAGATACAAACATCTTTTTTTAAGATTTTATTGAGAGAGAGAGACACAGCAAGCGAGAAAGAGCATGAGTGGGGGGTGAGGTTGGCAGAGGGAGAAGCAGACTCCCCGCTAAGCAGGGAGCCTGACACAGGGCTCGATCTCAGGACCCCGGGATCATGACCTGAGCCCAAGGCAGACACTTAACTGAGCGAGCCACCCAGGCGCCCTGAGATACGAACATCTTAGACTACATAGTTCATAATGTTCAAGCAGGATGCCTACCCCTTCAGATGTACAGAGATGGTTCTTGTCTCAACAATACAAACAGGAACTGAAACAATATTGTGTTCCACAAGTGATTTAAAGTGTAACATCATACATGTTTTTCTCCTGCTGTTTGCTTTTATATCTTAATGTGTCTGGCTATTGTTACAGAATTTCATCTTAAAAAACAGGCAACTTTAAGGGGGACTGGGTGACTCCGTCTGCTTCTCCCTCTCCCCCTGCTTGTGCTTTCTCACTCTCTCTCATTAAATAAAAAATAAAATCTTAAAAAAGAAAGACAGGCAAATTTCTTTTTACTTTTCTGCTACCTCTGGAAAGCACTAGTTTATGAAAAATCATTGTTAAATATGGAAAGATGTAACAGATTTTTGTGCTAAAATTCAGTGAAAGAAAGCAACTGTGAACCTTGCCAGCACCTCCTTGATATGACAAATATATTGTATGATGAAAATGCCCACAAGCTATTCATTTTCTTTTTTCAGTAGCAAGTCTCTTGATATCTTATCGTATAATCTAGAAATTATCTGTATTTACTTTAATTAAAAATAATAGCACGGATACTTGGGTGGCTCAGTGAGTTAAGCGGCCGAATCCTGATTTCTGCTCAGGTCATGGGATCAAGCCCCATGTTGAGCATCTGCTTGAGATTCTCTCTCCCTCTGCCCCTCCCCCTGCTCACGTGTGCATGTATTCTCTCTCAAATAAATAAATAAACAAATAAATAAATAAATAAATAAAAGCATAGTTCTTATTTTCTGAAGTATCTTAACCACAACTTAATGAGTACCTTTAGGATGAGTTACATAGTTCAGGGCTCCTGGGTGGCTCAGCTGGTTAAGCGACTGCCTACTGCTCAGGTCATGATCCCGGAGTCCTGGGATCGAGTCCCACATTGGGCTACTGGCCCAGTGGGGAGCCTGCTTCTCCCTCTGACCCTATCCCCTCTCATGCTGTTTCTCTCTCTCTCTCTCAAATAAAATCTTTAAAAAAAAAAAAAAAAAGATGAGTTTCATAGTTCAGAATGCTGTTGCATGACGGGAATTTTAAAGGAAATTTACTATTTTTGAGAAAATGATTCAAGCAATTTGGTAAGCTGGACTACTCCATGCAATGGCACTCCCTGCCTGATTGTCCCACACTTACCTGATCATAGGCCTCTTGTCATCTTTTGTCCATCATTCTTTGACTCTTCCTTGCTCCAGTAAGGGCCACATTTGATTTAGAAATAGAGAGTCCTGCTTATAAAAGGGAGAAAATAGATACTTCAAAAGATTATGGTTTTTCCTAGATCCAGACCTGACTTCTTAATACAGAGGAAGAGAATCTAGGGGCACCTGGGTGGCTCAGTCAGTTAAGCGTCTGCCTTTGACCGGGGTCATGATCTCAGGGTCCTGGCACATCGGGCTCTCCACTCAGCAAGGAACCTGCTTCTCCCTCTCTTCTGCCCCTCCCCCTGCTCATTCTCTCTCTCTCTCTCTCTCTCCCTCTCTCAAAATAAAAAAGCACGAGTGGCAGGGACGGGCAGAGCGTTCAAGGAAGAATGCAAGCCACTTCCCACTTCTACCGATTTTAATTCATTTCCTCAAGAACCTGGAGTAGGAATTCAGGCAGGCAATTTAAAGCCCACCCCCTTTCTAAAAGAGAAAGCAAAGATACCTAAATTCAGGTTTTGAATTTGGAGGAATGGTAATCTCGGATGAGGTTCCCATAGTTCCAAATCATTAGATTCCTATATAAATTCTTCTGGTCAGGGTCCAATCAGCCCCATTTCTCGTGAGACAAGTCTATGGCCACATCCCTGAATGTTATAAACCTCTGAAATGATAAATACATTTTTGTCCAACAAAGACTCCCCACATGGGGCTAGGAAAAGTAATAATGCACTGCAGGAAAGGAAGGGTTTGTACAATGGAGCTGTTCTGGTAGAGATTGAGGCTTTGAGAAAATTACTAGGCAACAGTTATGTGTTACACCATAGTAAGTAGGAAAGAAAATTGCCAGCCTCTCACTTGGTGAAAGATTTAACCATACATGAAATATACTTAAATGAGGCACTTATTCAAGTACTAAACTGTGTATTTCTTATCCTAAATGCAAGCTCAATTCTTAAAAGGAGGCAGACAGATGCTTCCAAGATAAGATACACTTTCAACTGGGACATTTAAAAATGGGCAAGGTGTACGTGGAGAGTAAAAACATCATCTGGTTTATTTTGACAAACGTGCTTACAAAAGGAATGTTCCCACTGTAAGTGGATCAAAAGAGGAAAACCACCTTGGCATTTTCCTGCGACATACCTTATCTACATTTACTTCAGGCCAGGACAGGTCTAGTCATATTCAAGGATAAACATGAGTTAGCATAACCTTAAATCTATACTCTATCTCAAAGTTAAAGCCATTAAGATACTAAAAATGTTTCTGTAACCATGTATGTTTCTACAAACGCACACTAGTCTTCACTGCTGATGTCAATACTGTGGTATTTGCATTTTCAGAACGACCCATGCTGTGGAAAAAACTCTGCAAGTACCAGATTAACTAAAAACATTTATTCGTAGCTTTCTTTTCTGAGTTTGCTTTAAAACAAAAATAACCCCCCCCAAAAAAAAACGCCCACAAATTCCCTCCAGTAGGACTTCTCAGAACTCTTTTAAGATTTTGCCACACTCCTTACAATAGTAGTTTTCTCCCCAGTATAATTCTGCAGTTCTGAAATAAAGCAGAAAACCCTCTATTCAGTTCATTTATAGGGTTGCTTTTTCTCTTTAGAAGAGTATTTTCAAACTTAATAAATATTGCATGGTACACAAGGACATTGCCAAGTCAGTGCATTTGCATGACTTTGTTTCATTATGAATTTTCTGATGTCCAGGAAAATGTGCACTCTTGCCCACACACTGTCCTGTTTGAGCTGACAGATGCAGAACGGGGGCCAATTTCTAAATAAAAGCTTTCTCACGTTTATCGGCCGCATGTCCTTCCCTGGTAGGAATTTACAAAGGTCGAGTGAGGGAATCCTACCAGATGAAGTCTTCTCAGTACTGATTTCATCTTCTGATGTAACAAAAAGAATGTGCGGCTACTAACGGCTTCCCGTCATATTCCTGGGTTATTATTTTCCGGATATTGAATCAAGTATGACCCACCTTCTTCACATTCAACATACTCACTTAAGGCTTCTTTCCAGGAGTCCAAAGTAAGGCATTAACTGTTTTGTTTTGTTTTTTAATCCACACGTTGTTAGGTTTTCTCTGTAGTGCGAATTCCTTTGTGCTCAGTAAGGAATGAGTGATAACTAAACGAATTTTCATATTCATAGGGGTTCTCTAGGGTGTGTGTTCTCTGATGTTTGGCAAGGTTTGAGCTCCAGCTGAAGGACTTATTGCACACCTTGCATACATAGGGTTTCTCCCCAGTGTGAGTTATCTGATGTAGAATGAGGGAAAAGCTCCGACTAAAGGTTTTATCACATTCAGTACATGCATAGGGCTTTTCTCCAGTATGAATTTTCATATGTTGCATAAGGGATGCATGCCATGTGAAAACCTTACCACATTCATCACACTCATAGAGCTTTTCTCCAGCATGAATTCTCTGGTGTTTAATAAGGAATGAGTGGCAACGGAAGGCTTTCCTACATTCATTACATTCATAGGGGGTTTTGGTAGTATGGATGCTCTGATGCCGAGTAAGGTGTGAAGAACGGCGAAATGCCTTCCCACATTCAATGCATTCATAAGGTTTCTCTCCAGTATGTGTAATCTGGTGGCGAATAAGTTCTGAGCCACTGCTAAAGGCTTTCCCACATTTCCTACAAATATACTGTTTCTTTCCTATGTGAATTCTCTGATGGCGCGTGAGGTTTGAGGCACGGCTAAAGGCCTTTCCACATTCAGTACATTCATAAGGTTTCTCCCCAGTATGTGTTCTCTGGTGTTCAATAAGGAATGAGAGGTAACTGAATGTTTTATTACAGTCCTTACACTCATGGGGTTTCTTTCCAGTATGTATCATCTGATGTTTCACAAGGTTTGAGATCTGGCTAAAGGTTTTACCACATTCCTTACATACGTATGGTTTCTCTCCAGTATGAGTTCTCTGGTGTAACACAAGGGAAAAGCGCCGACTGAAAGTTTTTCCACATTCATGACATCCATAGGGCCTCTCCACGGTATTGATGCTCATATGCTGAGACAGGGCTCCTTGATGAGAGACTGTCACTTGCCTGATACCTCCCTGATTTCCTTGCATATGAGTATCTTCCTCGCATTTCCAGCCTCCTTTAAAACTGGAATATTCAGGGTCTTGGTTTAGAATTCTTTCCACTACCAAATACTGGGATGAGCCATCTTCATATGTGACATTTTTTGGAGAAAACTCTTTGATGTCACCATTTGACTCTGAAAATAAAAAAAACAAAGCAAATTTTTTTTTCCTCCCTGTATTGACTAAAGTAAAGCCACTCCTCGCTTTTTCAATGAGAGATAAAACAAACAAACTCAACACTACATGGCTTTCATAGTTCTCATATAGACTGAAATCTGAGCAGTATGCCCAGAAATTCAGAAGAGGGATGTAGGTAAAAAGGGAAGACTAAATAGAAGTAACTGAAGGTGAGGGAAGAAACAGGACAGGGGATTCCTGGGTGACTCAGTCAGTTAAGCGTCTGCCTTCAGCTCAGGTCATGATCCCAGCGTCCTGGGATCAAGCCCCATGTCGGGCTCCATGCTCAGTGGGGAGCCTGCTTCTCCCTCTGACCTTCCCCCCTGCTTATGCTCACTCATTCTTACTCTCTCTCTCTGACAAATAAATAAATAAAATCTTTAAAAAAAAAAAAAGGTCAGGAAGATAAATACTTGGGAAGGATGCATTTTCGTCTTTCTCAGCTCTACTTAAACTTTATCTAAGGCAAAAAGGACTTGAAAAAGACAATTTCATAATGCTGCTAATAAACTACAAATGTTCCTCAGGTCCCACAAAGACCTCAGACTCTGTTCGCTTAATGCCTTTGGAACACCTGACAGTGACTTATTTTAAATAAATAAGTAAAAGGTATCCATGAAAATGACTGTCTATGATCCTCACTCTAACTCTACTTTCCAAATTGATAACTGAAGCTCAACTTTGGTATAACATGCTTTTTTTTCCCCCCCAGGTGTATTTATTAGAGAGCGAGAGTGCACAAGTGGGAGGGGCAAAGGGTGAGGGAGAAAATCTGAAGCAAACTCACTGCTGAGTGTGGAGCCTGATGCAGGGCTTAATCTCACAACCCTGAGATCATGACCTGAGCCAAAACCAAGAGTTGTACGCTTAATCAACTGAGCCACCCAGGCACCCTATTAGATGCTTTTAATAGTCAAACATAGGCCCTGATTTTCTCCAGGCTACATTTTAGGAAGGTACTTTATCATTTTGGGGGGAACAAAACAGTATAATAATATGAAGACTTTTTAAGAAATATATTCACTCATATCCTAATTCTTAGGAATACGTGGGGGTAAAAGGCCATGATGTATCCAATTTATTCTCTGATCTTTCAGAAAAAAATCATATACCAAATGATAAAATGAATGGGGCAAAATATTAGCAATAGGTGAATTTGAATAAAGAGCTTATAGGTATTCTTGTACTATTCTTGAAAGTTTTCTGGAAGTTTAAAGTTATTTCCAAATAACACTAAAAAATTCATTTTTCTTTAAAACACATTTTGAGGGGCACCTGGGTGGCTCAGTTGTTAAGCGTCTGCCTTTGGTTCAGGTCATGATCCCAGGGTCCTGGGATCGAGCCCCGCATCAGGCTCCCTGCTCCTCAGGAAGCCTGCTTCTCCCTCTCCCACTCCCCCTGCTTATGTTCCCTCTCTCACTGTCTCTCTGTCAAATAAATAAATAAAATAAAATAAAATAAAAAAAGAAATGCCAGATGTAAATATGAGAGATGTCTAAGGATTAGGAGGTTATAATCCATCTTGAAAAGTAAAAAACAAGGGTGCCTGGCTAGCTCAGTCAGTAGAGCATGCATCTCGGGTTGTAAGTTGGAGCCCCACGTTGGGTGTATAAGTTACTTACAAATAAAAATTGTTAAAAAAAAAAAGTAAAAAACAAACAAAAAGAAAACTAACATACCTCCCTTGGGAATATTGTCAGAAAACCAAGATTCACAAAGCCATCCCAAAGTTCAAATTCTGACTGAGAGGAAAAGAAGGAATACGCTTACCCAGTGAGACCAAGTGGCCATAGTTCTCCAACATTACATGTCTGTACAAATCCCTCTGAGCAGGCTGGAGCCATTCCCACTCCTCCTGGGAGAAGTCAATGGCCACATCTCTGAATGTCACTGACCCCTGAAACGACATACAGATATCTGCAGAACCAACACCCATGCTCCCGAAGGCCCTGATCAACAAGTGAAATGAGTCCCACCGTGGAGAGCAGTGTATATAAGTAGTAGCAATGGGAGTTTTCAGAATTCTGAGTAATCAGTAAGAGCCTAGCTGTTTTGTTTTATTGTATAACTGGAGAAAAGCAGAAAAAATAAACGCAGTTTGTCCTGAGATCATTTATAATTTTGTGAAAGATAAAGGATTATACATGTGAACAACTTGGATTTCTGGCTTTTTGTTGTAAAAGTTCTTAGAATCTTACAACACTTAATGAATAGTGAAGACAATCCCTTTGTATTTAACAGGCAATGTGTATTTTCCTTAATGGCAGCCCTATTTTAATATGATTTGGCAAAATTTCTTCCTGGTAACTGATGAAGGAACAGAAGGCAAGCTGAGGACAAACCACAAGCTGACACGCCGGCAACCCCCACCCCCAACCGCCAGGTGGGCTACGTGTAACATTCCTCAAGCACTCCTGGACGCTCTAAAGCTAAGGGAAGGAAAAACAAATGGTTTATTTATAGAGATTAAAGTCCTACAAGACATGAGTCTCCCTCAATTTACAAATGTCTTAGTGATTTACAGGAGAAAAGCATTCTTATCAATAACCTAACTTCTGGAAGGAAACTCCCAATTGTCTCAACAGTAATGCCTTGCTAGAGGAAAAAACAACCTTAACTTGACAATGGCAATGCCTCCAGTATCTTGTAGGTCCTCTTAGGCATTCGAAAGTTGTTTTTTTTTAAAGATCTGTGAGGTCAATTACTATTTTTTTTTTTTAAGATTTTATTTATTTATTTGACGGGGAGAGAGAAAGAACACAAGTAGGCAGAGCGCAAAAGGAGAGGGAGAAGCATGCTCGATGTAGGGCTCGAACCCAGGACCCCGGGACTATGACCCAAGCCGAAGGCAGATGCCCAGCCGACTGAGCCACCCAGGCACCCCGCGGAAGTTCTTTTGAAAACCTCCCTTTTCCTTACCTCCCCCAACTCCCATGTATATAATCAGTCACCCCTCACAGCCCTGATGCAGCAGCTCTTTCTGCCCACGGGTCCTGTCCCGGGCTTTAATAAAATCACCTTTTTGTACCAAAGATGTCTCGCAGTCAGCTGTGGACCCCACCTACATTCAAAAACTACATCAGTAACAACTGGCTATAGCAGACAGCAGCAGCATCCTTGAAAAGGGGCATGCACTCAAGTGCATCACAGTTGTCCCCATTCCAGAAGAAAGAGCTATGAAACGAGGGGTACTTTAAGCAATGTCACATAACAAGGAGGATGAGCAATCAAGTGTTAAGGACTACCCAAGGAAGAAATGTAACACCTGCCAGGATGGAAATGAAAGCTTTTCCCCTCAGTAACAGTAAGCCCCTGCTTTGCACCCTGGTTTTGCCCGACTTAAATAATCCACATAACCGTTAAGCATGAACAGAAATTTTAAAAGGTACCAAACTAGTAAGAGCCCCAGATGTATAGCAGTTATATTTTACAGTTAAAAAAAAAAACTGTTTTAGGGGTGCCTGGGTGGCTCAGCCGTTTGAGCAGCTGACTCTTGATTTCAGCTCAGGTCATGATCTTGAAGTCCTGGGATGGACCCCTGGATTCTGCGCTCAGTGGGGACTCTGCTTCAGGATTCTCTCTCCCTCTGAGTCTCCCCCCACCCATCTCTCTCTCTCTCAAATAAATCTTAAAAAAAAAAAAAA